AAGTAAAAGGCTATATACTGTTATGAAAATAGGCATGTGGAATGGATGGTTTATATTCCATTATGACTGTTCAAAGTTAGAGATTTAGTGTTATTAGTCTGCTGCTGTAAACATTAAATTAAAAAAAAAAACCTTGTGTAAGAGGGTGGAGCCAAGCGTTTTGCAAATCTATCTATTTTGCAAATAATAATAAAACTCCAATAGCAATTTTTATGCCCATCCCCTAGTCGTGGGTGTTTTTGTCACAGGCTGCCCGTTTCTGTGTGCATCTGTTGTTTTTCTGCCCTGTGTTAATTGCCTGTGGTAATTACGAGTGCCGTGGGGACTGATTACCGCGGGGCGCGGCGAGCGTGCTATCGCACGTGTCTTGTTCTATCCATCACAGGTTTTAATTACAGGCCTGTATGTTTCCACACGCACCTCAAAAGGAGCCTAATGATGCTTGCTGATTCTCCAGCCTGTCTACAGACATTCTCACTTCTTGAGGGCAGAGGGGGAGTGTGTGACTCACAGTAAGACACCACATCAGAGGGCATCTTGAGGACTTGGCGTAGATGCCTGATAAATTACACATAGTAATAACGCTTTTCTGTATTGTTGTCAGGACCACAGCAGACAGTGGGAACTCGGTGGGGGTCTGTGGCCTCCAGAGCATATCCGCCACTGCCTCTCCTTGTTCTGCTGTGCAGATCCGTGCTTTTATTAGCCCCTCTGCAAACATGTTTAGATATTCCCCACGTCACTCAAGCCACTGGGGAAGACGGGCTGGTCTCTCTTTATGTCCCTCACCCCCTTTCTCCGCTCCTTCCTAATCTCCTCCCTTTGTTCCGTCTCTCGCTCCTTTTTCTCTTCCACCCTACCTCCTCCCTCTGGGATGGCCAGTATTCAGCCGTTGGCACAGGCTGTGCGGTTTGATTGACGGGGCTTTGGTCCTGCTCTCTCCACGCTTCGTTATGCCAACATGGAGATGCCTCTCTTCTTGCGCCTCTGTTTGTTTTTGCTCAAGGGTGTGGCGCATGTCCTCAATGGCCGCATCCGCAAGAGGAGGCTGAATCCATGTTCTGCCTCTTTCTCTTGCGCGCGCTCTCTCACTCTTTTTTTTTCCCTTCTCTTCCTGTTTGTGGTTTAGTCAGTGCCTCACAGACATGCTCTCCTAGGCTCTTTGTTCCAGGAATGTTAAGTTATTTAGTAAATTACACATTATTCCAAGGCAGAATGTCATGAATTTAAGATGAAAGAGCACAGCATGAGCACAGTGTTGCTTTTATAGTCCTTGGCTTTAGAATTCATTCACTGATTTTCTTTTCAATTCGAACTTCTGAAATTATGAGGTCACTTAGCTTTTCTGGATCTAATCTTTCATAGCGCTCTAATTTTCTATAGCTGAAATCAAGAATGGGCCAGCATGGGTTTTCTGGGCCAATAAAGTTAACTGATAACAGACCGCATTTGTGGACAGTACCACTACCAATAATCAGAGATGTTTACTCTTTTTTGCATTTTAAAAAGTTCACACTACAATCCACATAGACAAAGTGCTTTATAAACGATCAAGATGCTAATTGCTAATGCGAGCTGTCTCATATTCTTTAGGCTGTGAGATCACTGCAGTGATGAGTTCCTTAAAGACTTGACGTGTTTCCCCCTCACGTCTTGCAAACTACTGTGTTGTCCTCTGTGAAACTGTGAAACCGTGAAACTTCCACACCACTGACATTTTTGTTGCGTCATCAGAGTGTGACTTTGTGGCTCAGCACGTGCACAAGCTACAATGGAGCAGAAACTGAATCAGCTATAATTCTAATATCAGCCCAGAACCTGACCAAATTATTAAACATTAGAGCTCGATAATATTGAGAATATTGGCAACACATGGTTTTATCTGTAATGGCAAAAACATTCCTACTTATTTTGGTTGCTGCGTCGCCAGGAATCAAACATGCAAACTTCTGACAATAGGGCAGAGGAGAACTAATGAAAAAATATGAGACACTGGAGCAAAAGAAGTCTTGCTTGTACTGCTAGGTTTGTGCATTTCTGCTATTTATTTTACAAAGTGTAACAGTTGGAGTGTAAAATTAAAATATAAAATCGGAAGCTATATCTGCTATTATCAGTTATCACAATCCTCAGCCCCGTAAAATTAGAATCAGCCACAAAATTTTCATATCATCAGGCTCCATATCAGACTGATCATAATTACTTTTCTCCATTTAGTGATGAATATATTAGCGGTCGAAATAGGACTGCTGAAATAAACATGTCTTATATAGGCCAGACAAAATACCAACAACCAGAAATAAACCAGTATTTGCTTGGTGTGCCATACTTGTGTGCAGGGTTGGGTGGTAATGGAATACATGTAACTGTGTTAACATGATCAGGCTATCAAAAAAAGCGTATCTGTCACAGTTCCAGTAAAAAAAGATACAATCAGATTACAAGTACCTTATGGAAAAAGGATGATCACCAGCAGCATTACATTCAAATCTACACACATGCAAATTTGTTGTCTTTGGTAAAAATCTGCAGTTTTAATTTTTTAATATGTCACAATATGTCAACTTAAGTGTTATAGATTATAGAAGAATCCCCCTCCCCGGCAGCAGTTCACAGACTTTGACTCAGCCAATCTATAGAATTTTAGTATTTTATTTTGATTGGCAATAGATCTGCAGTGTTTTCACAAAGAAAATCTGGTTTTACACATCGCCAGCTTGTACTGCAGCAAACTAATCTGAAGAAAAATGACTGTATTCTTGTTTGTAGCTGTGTTAAATTGTACAGTTTAACTAGTTATAAATAAAACTTGTGCAAATGTAAACTGGCCAGATTTTAATTCTGAGTTGCGCTGATAATAAGTAACGGTTCTGAAACGCGAAAAGAAAGCACAGACCCGTGAGTGGTAAGTTGGGTAACTATACATGTGGGTTTTTCACATGTATAGTTTCTTTCTTTTTTAGTTTTTCAAATGATCAGTGTGAATTGTTAATGTGTAAAGTATCATTATCTGTAAAGAAGGCAAATAAACACGTAGGACACAGTGTAGATTTGGCCATTTTGATAAACTTGACAGTGGCGCACAATTTTTGTCCCCTATAATCTACAAGACAGCTGTGCTTTTTGCAGAATGTTTGGTCTGTGTGCTCTGACCAAAAGATCAATACGGCATTGCTGTATTCCAGTACTATCCATCACTCTGGTTCAAGGACAGACTTTGGCTTTAGGTGCTGGTCATGCTTGAAGGTGAGAGCCAGGTCTTGTCAAAGATGAATAATCTTCAGAAAGCTGGATAACTCTGTCATACACTTTCATCCTCTCTTTGCCCCCCCATTCCACAGACACACACACACCCACCCTCATGCTGCACTTCACACTCTCCCGGTAGGAATGTGAGTTCAGCCCTGTCCTTTCAGTGATCTGTCAAGGCTGGCTTGTCAGCTCTAAGAGCTTTCCACGGTGATGAATGTCTATGGCTGCCCACTCTGGGCCCCTCGCACAATAACTGAGCAAGTGCCATGATATGAGAGCGGCCATGCCTTTCACTGCCCAAAGCAATGTCAGTGCACAGAGAGCTCCCATTCAATTTCACTTTCTCAGTGCTCAGAGAGCTTTCCTATCAGCACCTTTGAACTGACCGTCAGGCTGAATTCATTAAGTCACAGGGAGGATTTAAACACATCTTCAGATTGTCAGCTCATATTACTTTCAACAAAACAGTCATTAAAGAGTAGGAATGTTTTTGTGAAGGTTTTTACTCATGAACTAAATCAATCCAAAGTCAATTAATGTCCCAGTCTAATATTTGTTTTCATAGATAATACAACTGTACAGTGCATACTTTAAACACATTAAAGTTAGTAAAAACAAATCCAATTTTAATTAGATATGCTAGGCTGCTGTTTATTTTAAAAGGCTTCAATGATATTACTCCATGTTTAGAATGTGCATAGTGTGACAATAAACTGATACTTGGTATCAACTGGTACCTTGTATGTGCTGTTATGACATTTTTCCTCTGGGTAGTACGGTATGTTTACAAATCTGTAATCACACTTTTTTTTCTGGAATTTCAACTACCTAGTGAACTATGCTGTACCTGAGCCATGTTGAATTAGGTGAACTTTCTTGCTAGGGTGCTATGCATAGACTTCTACATATGAGTAGAGCTATAAATAGTGCAGACCCCTGATGAGTCCAACACAGTTATCACACAATCATCACTTGTCATCACTTGAGTCGGGTGAGATGCCATCTGTGACTCTACTAAAAGGTTCAGAACTTAAAGCTCCTTTATTGTTGCTACTGTTTGTGTTTACTATTACCACTATCATCCTGTAAGAAATCATGTGACCATCGCACAACCTCCAGAGAACCCCACCAACTTGCACAGTTCTGTTATGCAAAGGGAAACTGATACAAGGGCTCCACTGGGGTACAGATAATTCTAGGTTTGGTTCTAGTAACTATAACTATATACTAGTCTGTAACTATACTGGGTCATACCTAGATTTACTTGTGGCTGATTCAGCTGTGCTTTGACAAATAGCTAAATAACAATTGAGACATGGTCAATACAGAAATTGAAACTGACTGTTTTGCTGTTTTTTATTTTCCACTTTAAAATAGTTCCACGTTGAGAGCATTTAACTTGCCACACTGCTGCAAGTTGTGGATAATGTCCATTTATGTGTGACAGTGGCATAAGAGGAGCGCATTGATCAGATACTAGCAGATAATATTTTGTGTTTTCCTTAGAAGAACAGCTGTGTATGTTTGCAAATGGGTTTTAATGTGGTTCACAATAAAGGTTTTGCTTGCTTCATCCATTCACAGCATATGTGAATTCCAGAATACTGTGAATGCCAACTCTGGTTGTTCACATTACGTCATAGTAAAACTGACACCAGTCCATTCAGATATGTCTTAATTGGCAATCTTTCAGTTCAGTTGTACATCCTTACCGAAGTGTAACCTTTTTTTTTCTTTTTCTTTCACAGCCGTGCCATCAAAACCAACCAGGACCTGCTCCCCGAGACCCCCTGGATCAACGTCTTCTATGATGACTTCTGGGGCACACTGCTCACCCACAGTGGCAGCCACAAGTCTTACCGGCCGCTCTGCACTCTCTCCTTCCGCCTCAACTATGCTCTGGGCGGCATGGAGCCATGGGGCTATCACCTGGTGAACGTTGGGCTGCACTGCATCGTGACGGCGCTTTTCTCTAGCCTGGCAGGCCTGATGCTGGGCCGGGGCTGCTGGAGGCTGCTGGCTGGCCTGCTCTTCGCCTCCCACCCTGTCCACACGGAGGCAGTGGCAGGGATTGTGGGTAGGGCAGATGTGGGGGCTGCGCTTTTCTTCCTGCTGGCACTGCACTGCTACATAGGCCACTGCACCCTGCGGGCTGAGGGGGCCCATGGCCAGTCCTGGGCATGGTTCCTGGGCAGTCTAGCATGCTCTGCCTGCAGCATGCTGTGGAAGGAGCAGGGCGTCACGGTGCTGGCTGTGGCGGCTGTGTACGACGTGTTTGTCTTCCACAGGATGAGTCTTAGGCAGCTGCCAGGAATCTTCTATAAGGTAAACAGCTATTTTTTTGTTTCCTCCCCCATTTCATTTCATCCTTAAATTTACTGGTAAGTAGATCTTCATGGAGTATAATGTATCTATGAGTCCAATGAGCCCATGATGATGCTTATGAAGAAATACCAAGTGTAGTTTTGTTGTTGACTCATTCTTTACTTAAAGCACTATATAATGCTTAAAAGCATAAGTCTTTATAGGAAAGTCTTCAAATTGGCAGCCATCTTGGTAATGCCCTCTGGCTTTTATTTTCAGTCATACAAGGCCATGCTCCTAGCTTCTTGAATGGGAATAGATGTGTAAAACTAAAAGCCACATTAAGGTTTCAAAAACATATTTGACATAACTGGCAAAATCTGACAAAAACACATCAATAGTTTGTAGCATTTGGCTCAAATAATGCAAAAACATGTTTTTTTCAGCTTGTTATGGTTACTATGCATGTGCATATCTCCACTGTGAGGTTCGGCTTTTCCAGCTTGCGGTTTCACCAGCAAGCTGTTGGCTACTTTTATTGAAGGGTGAGACTTTCCCCATAAACAGATGCCATGCTGAGCATTGTGAGCTTTTCCATTCATTCCTTAACCAGCAAACTGTCTCCTCCTCCTTTATAATGTCTGTGATAATATTTATATGACAAAATGGTCATTCTGCCAGATTGCAGTACACTACAGGAAGCATTGGTAGCTTCTATTGCTTTCTTGCACCAAATCACAAAAAATATTTTTTAAATTATTAATTGAACTTTTCATATTTGTGGAAATCATCAGTTGCAACCCTAACGGAAAGCTTTTTCTCGTCTTGTTTTTAAAACCCATGTTGTCATTTCCTGCACACCCATCGTCTCATGAGTGCTCAATCACCCATAAATGGAAAGCTGATATCTTTGTAGACCTGGTGGGTGTGTATGTGTGTGTGTTTGCTTTTCATTAGGATGAAATTTGGAAAACAGTTCCTCTGTGTATGTTCAGCTGGGTGATCCTGTGTGAACTGGAGTTTTTTCCTCTAACTGCTACAAAAATATACAAGAGCAGAGGGCAAGCAAAGGGAAAATTTTGAGCAGGGCTTGTTTACGTGCAACTGGCCAATGCTATTTGTGTTTTCTCATAAGAGCGGGTGAGTATAATTGCATAAGGATCTTAATATAGACCCCAATAAAGGTTTTACTTTCTTTATCCATTCACAGTAGGAATATTCAGAATACTGTGAATGCCCACTCTGTACCCATTCTGCCCTTGGGCACAAGTAAAACCTCTGTTTATTCATGCCTTGTCATGACTGTAGTCTTTATTCTGTAAACATCTCCTTTAACGAACCCATGATAATTGCAAAATGTCTACAGTAGTCAAACTAATAAACTTGAGAATAGCTTGCTAATGTTCCGAAATTGTTTAACTGCATTACAAAACACTTGAGATGAATGGTGCTCTAATGACAAATAATGATGTTGATGTATTTTGTTTACATGAAAATGTAATTAGTGCAGTGATCAATCATAGGCAGAGACAAAGTCAGCAGTGTGTGGAGAGAGAGAGAGAGAGAGGTCCACACTCACTGAAATCAATGAAAATAAATGGATTTCACATAGGAATGCAGTTCTTTTTTGGAACAAACCTCTTTTCTGAGCATCAGACCATCAGGGTAGCTTTTGCTTAGCTGTGACTTGTCAGGAGCATTTAACGTCCACTGTCAAGACTCTGTGACTTTACTGACCCCCAGTCAGTCTGCAGAATTAAACATGACATGTGCACAACTGTGACTAGAGGTTAGAGAGGGCTTTGGGACCCAGTGATGCAGTTTAACCCCCACGTATAGAGACTAGGGTGAGTGTGTGCACATGTTCATGTAAATGTACATGTACTTGTACCAGGAATTAGAAACGGTTGATAATGAAAGTGCATCATGAAAAATGATTGTTGAAATTGTTTGGATTATTTTGACATAGCATGATTGAAAACAGGTCCAAAATGGAGTGAAAACTTTTGTTTTAAGTATAAGTTCATAAGATTATTATTTAGATAACATATTGTTAGATAAGTTATTTTATCCATCTGCCTGGGTCAAAAGGTTATTATTTTATTGTTAATTTACATAGAAATCAACTATTAGCAGCTTTTTTTTGTCATTTTGGTTTGTTCTGAACAGAAACCATATTTTTGTTTCAGCATTTCATGCTACCTCTTCATTTGGTATTCATTTAGAATATAATCAAAGGACTGTTAATGTAACATTGTGTTAAAATAAGTGACACCATTAAGTAAATAAATCACTTATTTAATTGAAGGAAGGAAATGTTAACATTTCACAGTTTAACTGCATTTTTAAATATAATTTTCAGTCTAGAATTTGTTTTTTACTGATAACCAGACAGATTAGATTTGACCAATAATTCAAACCGATATTTGAAGCATTTATTGTGTTCCAAAAGAACATTTAAGCAACTTCATTTAACCGCTGTTTTTACCTCATACAAATACATGGTAGGCTTTTTTGTAATGCTAATATAGGAAAATCTATCTCAGGGTCTGTTAGTGATGCACAAAATGGAAATTCCTCACTGAAACTAAAACTCAAGAACACTGAGGCAGATATCTACATTGAAAACTGAGAAAAACTGCCAATAAATAAATAGTTTACATAAAATAATCTTACTGTAATAAAATTAGTGTTTAGGTCATCTTGGGTGTTGCATCCCCTCTTGACCTCTTGATACTCTGCATGAACAGTGATTACAAATCTCTTGTCTAAAGGTCATTGTTCTGCCTGGCGGATATTTCCGCTGTTGATCTACTGTTGCTCTGACTGTTTAAGCACATCTGCCCTTATCGGTGCAGGAGAGCAAAGAAAACGGACAGCATTTTAAATAAATATTTCTCTTGGTTGAAATTTCAGTGCATCTCTCCTGTCTGTATTTTTTTAATGTGTGCGTCTGCATCAGCTTCGGCAGATATGTGAATGAAAAATATAGAATTACATTCTGTGAAAAATATTCTTTGTTCTGTTTTTGTTTTCATCTCATGTTAACCATTTCTAATCCCTGCTGTCTGTGGAGACTGTCTGTAGAAGTTATCTTCACCCATAGACTGCAGTTCTGTCTTTCCAGCATTGTCGATTAATGCTTGAACACGCAGATGTCTGCTACAGGCATCTGAAGGACATGGTCCCTCTCAACTGATAACCTTGCCCTGAGATGGATATGTAGCCATCAGCATTTCCTGTCAATCCAGACTCGCATTGTTAATGTATGAGGCTTCACGCCAGAGGCTATATGCTTGTGCACTTTCTTCTCTAGACCCACTTTCTTCACATGCGTACTCTACCCAAGGGTCCGCCCAAGTCTTCACTGCTTCATTGCTGTCACCCTGTGGAGCGTTCAGTGGGATTAGCACTTAGTCAGAGGGAAATAATTCCAGATTTTCGTGGTCGAGGAGAGACTGTGTCACCCTGACTCATAAAGACAGTGCATAAAGGGGATGTGGGGGAAAGCAGAATTACCATGTAAACGTTTAAGCTTTATGAAATGTCTGATCCTCAATCCAAGGGACAATTATGTTGTCTTCCACACTGCACTTTTTATGATAAGTGCTGTATTGAAAGCTGGGTGGGTTGGTCAGAGAGACAAATTACTTCCTGCAGCTCAGTGTATGAGGGCTCCTTCAGTGCAGCGAGGAAACAGACTAAATGTGTTGTGATTAAAGCAAAAAACAAAGCATTGAGGTGTTAAGGCGCAGCTGTCAACGGCTCATAATAAACACGTTTATATTTCTCTCTGCACCGCACTTACAAGGCAGTATGTCTAACAGCATAGATGTGTGAATAGACTCAGTAGCTGAGGGCCATGTTAATGTTCCCCTGTCAAAGCAGTGGACTGGCATGCATACATGGATCTGTGATTGATTATACAAGGAACCACTTATTCAGTTATGGTTTGAAGTCTATTACATTATGCTGGAGTGGCGTATTTACTGTGAAACAATGTTCTAATGTCTGCTGTAAGTGAATGCGTGTGGCTTCTGCCCAGGGTAATATCACTTACTGAGATGGAGCCTGCAAAGCATATACACTTCATGACCAAAAGTATGTGAACACCTGACCATTGCACCTATATAAGCTTGTTGGTCATCCCATTCCAAAACCATGGGCATTAAAATGGAGTTGCTCCTCTGTTGCAGCCATAACAGCCTCCACTCTTTTGTGAATGCTTTCCACAAGATATTGCAGTGTGTCTGGGGGATTTTGTGCCCATTTAGTCAAAAGAGCATTTGTGAGGTCAGGCATTGATGTTGGTGAAGGCCTGGTTTGCAGACATTCTAATTCATCCCAGAGGTGTTCAGTCAGGGTGAGGTCTGGGCTCTGTGCAGGCCATCGGAGTTCCTCCACACTAAACTCATCAAAACATGTCTTTCTAAGGGGCTGAATCCAAACCCTGAAAAACAGGTAGTGTTCTCCTGGCATCCACTGAACCCAGAATTATCAGACTGCCAGATAGTGAAGCGTGATTCATCACTCCAGAGAACACGTTTTGGCTGCTCCAGAGTCCAGTGCGAGTGTGCTTTACACCACTCCACTATTGTAAAGCAGTGCTTTGCATAAATGCTTGGCATTGCACATAGTGATCTTAGGTCTGTGTGCAGCTGCTGGGCCATGGAAACCCATTTCATGAAGCTTCTGATGCACAGTTCATGTGCTAATGTTGCTTCTAGAGGCAGTTTAGAACTGTGGACTTGTCAAACACAAGGCCAGTGGGCCAAATCAGGTCCATGACACAATCCTATCAAAAGTTATTTTGATTTTCTATTAATATTAGCCCGTTTCACAATGCCCTGCACTTCAGTCCCCAGCATGCACTTCAACGTAATGTGTGCTCCCACCGTTCCCCACCAACAGCGATCTAAGGGACAGCGATTATACCACAATTCTACCACACCAGTCATAACACCAAACACACTAACTGCGTTTCAGCTACAGTTCAACCATTATATACACTATAAACACTG